TATCTTCTGACTTCTGAGAATGATTTATTGCTGGTTTTGTTATGAGACTTTCTAGTTTTGCAACCAATTGATGTCTCAAAACCTAAGTTTAAGGGACTAAAACGGATTTGACTCTGCCCCAAATAAACGAATTGCTCGAAGTATCTGTTTTACTTTCATACAAAAAAAATGCAAAGTGTTAGGCATTTGTTCATTTATTTATACCACCCAATGGTTTTGTTGGTTGTGAAACCAGATCCAGAGGAAGACTGCGGCTCCTGTTGCATAGGCCGTCTTGGCTCTCGAGGTCGTGCAGGATCCACAAAGATCACCCAACCGTCCAAGAACTTTGCGTTCATCCCTTCCTTAGCCTTCTCTGCATCTTCTAATGTTGCATATGTAACAAAACCGAAACCCTTTGATCTCCCGGTCTCTCTGTCTGTGATCACTCTCGCTGCAACACCAAAATAACAAATCTGTGACTTGAGTGAATTCGATCCTTTTTATCCAAGAGATGGTGAATAAAAAAGGAGAGAGATATAGTTTACCATCAACGAGCTCGCCAAAAGGAGCAAATGCATCCTGAAGCTTTTCATTTGTTGTGAGTCTTGAGAGACCTATTCAATGCACAACAAAGATACAACAGAGTTTCAGGCCTTATTGAGTCTTATGTAGAGTAAACAAATTATAGCCATCCAGAGAAACAAATACTAATTGTATTGTTCTTTAAGAGTTCCACAATTTGATGCTTCCATAGTAACGAAGAAGGGACTAGCACACTAACTAAGAAGACAAGCCTCCAAAGGCACTCAAATTCATTATCAGAAAAGTGGAAAATTGGAAAGTGAATCTAAACTTGATTCCAGTCTCAAAATGATCCACCTATAATCTATAGGAGAAGAAGCCCAAAATCATCAAAGCTACCGTATCTTATCACTGAGTATCATCTATACTAAAACAAAACCATTTCTTCTACGAAATCTGTTCCTAAAGCTGAAATTTTGTTTTTCTTTCATGTAAAATTGAAGAAAGAAATTACCGCTAACGAAGAGCTTGGGAGATGTAAGAGTAGAGCAGTGGCGAACCCATGAGGAGGATGGAGAAGACGAGAGGCTGTTGGATCCGGCCAAGAGACGGCGAAACGTGGAAACAAACGCCATTGTAAGCAATCAGGTGGAGAGGTGAAGAAATCAGATTTTTAGGGCTTATCAAAAAGGGTTTTATGAAGCCCAAAAATCGTTGTTACTTAAAACGCTGCCGTTTTCTTTGTTTCATGAACAAAGATGAAAGAAAATTGCAATATAATTTATGCTTTGTTTCATTTTTTATAAAATGTTTTGTAATTTGTAATCGTTTTACTTTAACCAAATAAAAATAAAAATAAAAAATTCTTCAACGGTTATGGGTTCATTTGAAAAAAAAAAAAA